TACGTCAAGAAAGGTACAAAAGCGAGTTGCATCAGATTCCTAGCTCCGTTTGGGTTCTGATCCCCGATATAACCGTTTTTAGTGGCTGCAACGTCTAAATCTGAAACTTCAAAGAAGCGTTCTAATGACCTATCTCATTGATATCCATTCAGCAAACTTTTCGCCAAATTTGAAGTAGTCACTATCTAATTGAGTAATATTCTTTTAAAAGTTTTTCTTGAGGTAAATGACGTCCGATTTTAAATTGAAGCTATAGACGCATTCATCAACTATTCGCTAAAAAGCAATGTATGTTACGTAAGGCTAGGTGGTGCTGACTCGTCCTGAGTAGCTGACCCATTATTAGTTTTGATGTTGAACAATAAGGTAAACCATTCATAATGAATGGAGTGGCTTGCATTGCCACAGGCAAAATTTATGGGGGCGGACAGTGGGAATATCGGCTATTGCTGCCAATGCCATCGGCAGGGTAAATAATATTCACCTGCTACAGCAGATCTGTGTTTGCCGATATGCCACACTGTGGGATGCCTCCTCGTGGCGCCCCCGGAGAGATGGTTGCCTGACTTCGAATGAAGTTCACATAGCAGTTCGCTGCATAATTACTTTTTTAGTTTCTATTTTGTCTGTTTGAAAAGTGGTTATAAGATCAATGCAGAACGTCTCATACGATCATAAATGTACGACTTGTATTGCGCTTTATAATGAGACTTCTTGACGCTTGATAATTGTTGATACCCAGCACGTTTCTAGCAGCTAACTGTTGTTAAAAATAACTTTCGCACGCAACCATCTCACTAAACGTATCCCGCTATCTCAAGCTATTCTTAGTGTTTGTTGTATTCATTACTACACGCAAATAGCATACAGGATATACCTATCTCCAAAATTATGCCACGTGCCAGGACAGACGGGACAGACCGTTGCCGGGCAATACAATAAGACATTTTTATACGGCTACCACATGGTATGGGTCAGATATGGGGCGATTGAAAAGCACGTGCCACGTGGAAACGTGTTTGATGGGAAACTTCGTTGAAAATCCGAGGATGCGCTTTGATTGAGGGTGGCTGCTTAAACGGCAGAAATAAATGCACCACACTTGCCGCGCGGCGCCATATTTGTCTTAATAGGTCAGTGTTTGCGTTTTGCGGACGGCGTGTGTTTTTTGCGGCGGGGTTTGCGTTTGGTGGCGGGCGGGACTTTTCCGTTTTTTTTGTGGTGTTTGCGTTTCGCGGCGGGCGGCCGTTTTTGCGGCGTTTTGCGGTTGGCGGCGGGCGGGCGTTTTTGCGACGGTATTTGCGTTTTTTGCGTTGTTTGTGTTTGGCGGCGGGCGGCAGTTTGAGGCGGGCGGCGTTTTGCGGTTTGCGGTTGCCGGCGGGCGGCCGTTTTTTGCGGTGTTTTGCGGTTTGCGGCGGGCGGCCGTTTTTTGCAGCGTTTTGCGGTTGCCGGTGGGCGGGCGTTTTTGCGACGGTATAAGCGTTTTTTGCGTTGTTTGTGTTTGGCGGCGGGCGGCGGTTCGCGGCGGGCGGCCGTTTTTTTTGCGGCAGTTTGAGGCGGGCGGCGTTTTGCGGTTTGCGGTTGCCGGCGGGCGGCCGTTTTTTTTGCAGCGTTTTGCGGTTGCCGGTGGGCGGCCGTTTTTTTCGGCGTTTTGCGGTTAGCGGCGGACGGCCGTTTTTTGCGGCGTTTTGCGGTTAGCGGCGGGCGGCCGTTTTTTTGCGGCGTTTTGCGGTTGGCAGCGGGCGTTTTTTTTTGCGGCGGCGGTGTTTGCGTTTTTTTGCGGTGTTTGTGTTTTGCGGCGGACGGGCGTTTTTTGGCGTGCGTGTTTGGCGTGGCGTGTTTTTTTTTGCGGCATTTGCGTTGGCGTTTTGGGCGTGCGTTTTGCGCGTTTTGCGGTGTTTGCGTTTTGCGGCGGGCGGGCGGTTTTTCACAATTAAAGTCCCAACCTTCGGATCCGCAGAGCTGTTCGACAAGCGCTGCCCGGGCCTATCCGAAGGTTGGGACTTTTCAATTAAGAACAATCACTATTCTTTAGAATTGTGATTTTCTATTGAAAATCCCAACCTGAGCTACCTCTCTAGGGGGGTGTTTAGCGTTTCTGCCGCGATTTTGGTCATTTTGATCGCCGCCGAAACGGCACGGTAGAATTTCTTGCCATTTTCAGCGTTTGGTCCCGTATCGGGGAGCTACCGGCTGGCATCGGTCGCTTGAAATATAATTAACCCGTTTTGGGGTAATCGGCACGTGCATTTTCCCATAGGGTTAACATGGGGGAAAATTGAAAATTCGATTTGCGAAAAATTTCGTCAATTATATTTGCTGATATTTTTAGGGTCGGATCTCGGGCTGGCACCCCAACTGACGGTGGTAATTATTTAAAATATAATTGACAAAATTTCGGGTAATCGTCACAAACAGTTACCCCATGTTGAGCCTATGGCGAATTCGAAAAATTATTTTCAAATGGATTTTGCAAAAAATTTCCACGTTAGATTTTGAAAATGTTCCAATATGTTGTGCCCCGGGGTGTCGGCTACCACATGGTATGGGTCAGATATGGGGCGATTGAAAAGCACGTGCCACGTGCAAACGTGTTTGATGGGGTAACCTCCGGGAAAATCCGACATTGGCCAACTGGGGGTCCTATGGCGTGGAAACCACTCCACCTAGCGACACCAAATCAACGCAGCCGGTGAGCAGATGAGTCCAGCTTGTTGCACCAGTGGTCACGTGGCGCACGTGCTATTGCACGTGCCGTGGCACGGGGTCAATTTTTGTGCTTAAATATACTAGCATTGTGAAATGCAAGGAATGGGGGAAATACCCGTCAGGCCGTCAGTTTTTATGATAGGGTCAATCTGAAAACGGGTATAGGCACAGAATGAAGGGGGCTAGAAAACTGCTATCTCGGATTTTTTGTGAAATGAAAAATTTAAAATTCTGGGGAAATTATATATTCGAAAGGTGAAATTTCCCTAAATTTTCCAGTTTTTCGAGTTTAGCCGTCCACTGTTCAGAGACGGTGACACCGGCCGGGGTCATCTTTTACATGCTTATGGCCACGTCGATGGGTCATCACGTGGCGTGAACGGTGAAGCTATCAGAGGTCCGGCACGTGCCACGTGGCCACGTGTTTGAGTCGCGTACCTCCCAGATTACCGTGTGTTTGCCGATTTGTGGCCTTATAGCACGAAAACAGCACAAGCCAGGAACACTGAAATGGTGCAATCAGTGAGGGGACAAGTCCTGCTTGCACCACCGGTGGTCACGTGGCACACGTGCAAATCTGGGCACCTCCGTTGCGGAGATATTTTATAGTGAAATATTCAAATGTACATAACTTTTTCAGTTTAAGTCCGATTGGGCTAGAATTTCGTGGGTGGATGAATTGTTAAGCGACATAAACGAATGCGCCACGTTTGTTGCAGTGCGCCACGTTTGTCTCAAAGCGCCATTTTTTGCCGCAAAGCGCAGAATGTGCGTAACTTTGTCGAACATTGGACGATTAGGATGCGCTGTAATTAAAGGATGGCTGCTTAAACGGCAGATATGAATGCACCACATTTGCCGCAGGGCGCCATATTTGTCTTAATGCGTCAGTGTTTGCGTTTTGCCTACGGCGGGCGTTTTTTGCGGCGGCGTTTGCGTTTTTTTTTTTCGGGGTTTGCGTTTGACGGCGGGCGGCCGTTTTTGCGTTTTTGGCGGTGTTTGCGTTTGGCGGCGGGCGGCCGTTTTTTTGCGGCGTTTTGCGGTTGGCGGCGGGCGTGCGTGCGTTGCGGGCGTTTTTTTGCGGCGGTGTTTGCGTTTTTTTTGCGGTTTTTGTGTTTGGCGGCGGGCGGGCGGGCGATGCGGGTGTTTTTGCTGTTTGTGTTTGGCGGCGGGCGGCCGTTTTAGCGGCGGTTTGCGGCGGGCGGCCGTTTTTTGCGGCGTTTTGCGGTTTGCGGCGGGCGGCCGTTTTTTGCGGCGTTTTGCGGTTTGCGGCGGGCGGCCGTTTTTTACGGCGTTTTGAGGTTGCCGGCGGCCGGCCGTTATTTGCGGTTAGCGGCGGGCGGCGGGCGGTCGTTTTTTTTGCGGCGTTTTGCGGTTCGCGGCGTGCGGCCGTTTTTTGCGGCGTTTCGCGGTTGGCGGCGGGCGATGCGGGCGTTTTTTTGCGGCGGCGTTGTTTGCGTTTTTTGCGGTGTTTGCGTTTTGCGGCGGACGGGCGGTGTTTGGCGGCGTTTTTTTGCGTTTTTTCTGCGGTTTTCGGCGCGCGGGCGATTGTTTTTTTGCGAAGTTTGCGTTGGCGTTTTGGGCGTGCGTTTTGCGCGTTTTGCGGTTTTGCGGCGGGCGGGCGGTTTTTCACAATTAAAGTCCCAACCTTCGGATCCGCAGTGCTGTTCGACAAGCGCTGCCCGGGCCTTTACGATGCGTAACTTGGGCGTCGTTTCAGTCAAGATTCCTTTGTTTCAGTGTGGGTGAAAGAAAACTTCAGATTGGCAGTTGGTAGCAGTCTTGGGCTGCCAAATTTAGTCGACCACGGCGGCGCACGTGACACCAATACGATTGAAGCGAATGTCGTTTGGGTATGCGTGGGAAAGGTGGGAAAGGTATCTTAAATTTCTTATTTTTTAAGGTCTTCGATCTCGGCCTGCGGTGCAAGTACCTGTTAAAAGAAGTGTTATTGCAGAAAAACATCTGCAAAACCAATTTTTAACTCTTGGCCAAACCCCGCATCTAATAATTGTGATTGTAATCTCAGGACTCATTTCAATTGTATTTAAGTGAAATAGACAAGATCGGCAAGATGAAGTTGTTACCTGCCTCTCTATCACACTCACAATGCAATCTGTCGCTGTATATTTTTGATTGCATGCATCACCTTGACCTCCATGTCAGCTCAATTCAATGCATTGAAATGTAAAATACTGGGGTTGTCGGGCACAGATATTGGGATTAGGTATTGATTATCTCCTGATAAATCAGGAATGAAAGAGGTGTCCTTCATCTTGATTGGAGCAATTCTTTGGATGTGCTTAGGCCTTATTATTCAGATATACTCTTGAACGACATACTTGTCTGAACTTGGTCTGAACGGTCTGAACACGGACGATGGTGAAAACAGGGTGCCTGGGGCGATTTGATCAAGGTTTGTGAAATTTACACGTGATGTTTTACATGTAGAAGGCCCATGAAGGGGAGAACTTTCAAATGTCACGTGAATAATATGCCCTCCGGCGCCCTGTTTTCACCGGCGTCCCTGAACACAGGTTCCAGGCTTTTCACTCTGAAGGTTGAGCTACATTATCAGTGATCGTTCAGGAAATTATGTGCATGATCTGCAGACCCGTGATTGCGAGACTCCCTTGATATCGGTTTGCGATTTTAAGAATGCTTGTCACTCTATACCTAATAGGAGCATGGCTTTGATTTTGCTTGGCCTTATGAAAGTCAACAAATATAGTCCTCGAAATACAGGAATAGAGAATAACATTGAACAATGCATGTTTCAATGTCAACAGACTGGCAGAATCAGTAAGATTTTGTTAAATCCAATTAGCACTTAGCTTAGCCCTAATGAATAAACAAATGTTAACTCCATTTCTAAATGGCCCCATGTCCACAGTCCTGATGCCTACATTATGTGAGGGTAGAGCATTAACCCGCGCCGGGCCGGGGGTGTTTGAACACCCCCTATGTGGTTTTTCGCAGATATCTAAAAACAGCCGTGCTTGGCACACCTGTTCATGCATCTTTTCCGCACATGTGAAAATTTCAGACCCAGGGCTCTGAAGGTCAGGTCACCTGGTCATGTTAAGTCATAAGTGACCTCACCCCAGAAAAAGTTGCAATCCTTGTCATAGCTACACCAACTGAACGATCCCCTTGAAACTTTCAGCGATTGTTATGAGTAACAGTATGTGCAAAATGTATACCTCGGAATTTTGATATCGGTGACCTAAAGTCAGGCCAGGTCAATTTTGCGACCTCTCCATTATAAGTCAATGTTCATCCATTATAAGTTCATTCGATGCGTCTCAACGAAACGAACACGATGCTGGCAAAAGTAAATTCGTGGGTTGCTCGTATCAAAAGTTATTCCCGAAAAACCATTTTCGTGAAAATGGCTATTTCTACAGTTTTTTGCCCTCGGGAGGCTAAACCGTTGACCTGAGGTCAAATCTGAGAACACTAGTCAGAAAGATCTGTAAAAGGACTATTGAATGCGATTTTTCGCGGTGCTGTAGCTCTATTGGTTCCCCCGAGTTAGCCGTTGGCAGTTTCCAAAATTGTTGAAATGGACTTCGTTTGACCTTTGATGAATTCTGGCGACCTGACCTTTGACCTGACCCAAAAAATGACTAAAGTGTTTCCGTCATTATTGTTGACGCTCTTTCGAATCTCGCTTACCGCGTGTCTCTAAGGCCCAGGAGCCGAGTTAGACGGGGGGGATGTTCAGACACCCCCTCCCCCCCCCTCCGGCCCGGCGCGGAAGTCGTGGAACACCGGCCCGGCGCGGGTTAATGCCTTCCATCATTATTCATTTTTACCTTGTACATAATAAGAATGACCAATTATCTCTTAATTGTTATTTTTCAGGGTCCCTTAATCACTGATTTTTTCTGGTCTTTCCTGAGCCTGGTCGCAATGCGAAAGCTGCTTCTTCTGTCAAGTTCCTCCTACCACGGAGCTGAAGGGTTCCTAGGATGGTGCGGTGATCTTCTTACAGAGTTCCTCGGGAAGGAGGTTTCTCGTGTGTTATTCGTGCCATATGCCTTGTTCGACTACAATGAGTACACTACGACTGTGCGAGACCGGCTAAAGCAGCTCGGCTATGAGGTGGATGGCATACACGAGCTGGAGAACCCGCTGCAGGCCGTGGAGCAGGCTCAGGCCATCTTCGTCGGCGGCGGCAACAGCTTCCGGCTACTGAAGACGATGTACGACCACCGGCTGGTGGACGCCGTCCGCAAGCGTGTGCTGCAGGACGGCATGCCGTACATCGGCTCCAGCGCCGGCACCAACCTCTCCACGGTGAGCATCTGCACCACCAACGACATGCCGATCGTGCACCCGCCGACGTTCGAGGCGCTGGCCCTGGTGCCGTTCAACATCAACCCGCACTACATCGACCCCGATCCCAGCAGCACGCACATGGGCGAGACGCGAGAGAAGCGCATCAGAGAGTACCACATGTACGCCGACCGGCCGCCCGTGCTTGGTCTCAGGGAGGGCAGTGCGCTCCTGGTACTCGGGGACAAGGCTGTGCTGAAGGGTCCGACAGGCGCGAAGCTGTTCAAGCCCAAGGAAGAAGCTGAGGTGTTTGAGTCTGGGTCCGATGTGAGCTTCTTGTTGAAGTGAATCGATGTCGATGTGATAAGTCGATTGGTCATAAATCAAATAGGATCATGATTGTTCAATATGTTCATAGTAACTGTCACCTGATATTGCTAAATCAAAGTAGATTTTTATTCCAGTCTTGAGTATTATCAGGAAAGTGGCTAATTTAACAACAAATGGTACAATCGACATGGTTGGAGTGGGCGCCTTGGGTATGGTAAATAGTAGGGGTAATGTTGAAGATGTGATTCTGTACTGGGTTGTGCGTTTTCCGTCTTATACAGCCATGCGCGGAAATGTCAAACGTGGTGTCGTGATCGAATGTCAAGATTTTGTTTTCATTCAGTTGCTATATACCGGCCGTTTTTATGCACGCGAGCACATAGTTATTATGCTGGCTGTTTCCTTGTTATCGTTGAATACGATCGGCAACATTACTTACCTACTCACTGTGGATGCTTAACAATAAAGGGATGATTTGCTGTGAGGTCGTATGTGATGCATGGTCCGCACTCCGCAGATTGAAACGTGCAGAACAAACAGTTGGAATGCAGCAATGTGATTACAAATGCTTGTGCAATAGGCAGTAGCTACAACAGCGGACTACTGGCTACCAACTGGCTGCAACAGGTGGCGCGGCTGGTAAGATGCTGGTCCGTGGTTCGGGACAAGATTCTTACAGATAGTTCGGAAGGGCTGGATGGTCGACCCCCGGGTACCTACCTACCGCCCGTCTTCCGGGTTGTCGCGGTACCCAGCTGTACAATCAGGATGGATTGCGGCCGCGGGGTGCATCTTCGCATGCAGTAGCGGGCGGAACACCTTCAATTAAGGGGGGGGGGCACTGCCGACTTTTGGTCCCATTCTTTCCATGCAACGCTCATAGGGCTAATGTCAAAATAAATGCCAAAATCAAAGGGGGGGGGGGGCACGGTGCCCTCCCCGTTCCGCGCCCATGTTCGCACGCATAGGCTGCATAGGCTTCGCATGCAAGACTTGGGATCTACTCCTGATTTTCTAACACTAACATCTGATCAGCTGCAGTCCTGGCCGGATGAATCCTATCCCAAGGCAAATTCCTCGCCACTGTCGACTGCAGTTTCCCGTCCAAGCTTGTTGCAAGCAAGCAAGTCCTTTACTTTTACCTTCAATCTGCTTATTTCCGCTTAGCCATGGCTTAGCATAGTACCGTCATGCATCGCATTTTGCAAGGCATGGGTCCTGTTTGACGGCAGTCGGCACTACGGCAGTAGCGCGCTACGCGCATCAGTGTATTGCGCTTCCGTGGGGCGGAAAGGTCAACAAACTCGGACGCTCGCGACGCATACCCAAGATTCCTATAGATACGCGTACCTACCTATATCTGCTACAGACTGAAGACATGGCAAGGCCCAAGCAAGGCCGAAGGAAAAGCGAAAAGCAAATATTATGGTAGAAGTTCTTACGTATAATGATTTTGCAGTAATATAAGTTAGATAACAGTATGTAAATAAAGCCATCCTTGACAATGCTTTCAATCGTCTGTTCAGCGTTTGGCCAACGCAGCCATTTTTCCTCGCGTTGTCACAGTAACTAAAATCTTACAACTGATTCGTCGCCATGGGGAATGTATGACATCATACAGTTCCAGTCGCACCAATTGACTCCGAAATTCAGCTGATTTTACAAGTGTATGACGTCAGCTACCGATGTGTCGATAACGCCTATTTCTTGAAACCAAATAGAACGCATATGTGGCGATTTGCTATCCTTTGTATTGTAGATATGAATTTCAGTTTATGTGGTGTTGTTGGGGTGAATTGTGGGAGGCATGTACCTGCCTGTCTTAAATATTTTTATCAATATACTATCATTTGGCTGATTTATTGTAATGCATAATTGCCATTGCTGACAGTTTAATGGAAATAGCTCACTTTCACGAAATTATTTTTTTTGCAATGGATTTATGATATTTATGCTCAAAATGATCAGCAAAAAAAATAAATCTTTTTTATAAAAAGTTAATTTTTATATTTAAATATCGATATAGGAATAATTATTCAGTTTAAAAAGAAGGAAATGACCCCTGTAAGGCACACGCGTCACGCGATTTTCTTTTTATTTAACTGCTGAGTGCAGTGTGTGAGGTATGTGCAGCCTCTTATATGGCCTTGTGTGCAGCAGGCATGGGGGTAAGGGAGGTATATGTCAAGTTTAGGTCCTAACTACAATTGTGGCGCTGTTGATACGAATATTAAACAGAAAAAATTTTAGGTTTTAGGTTAGGTTAGGTTGTAGGTTTGTAGGTTTTAGGTTGTAGGTAGGTAGGTTTGTAGGTTAGGTTAGGTTAGGGTAGGTTTGTAGGTTGTAGGTTGGTAGGCTATAGGTAAGTAGGTAAGGTTAGGTCAGGTTTGATTATGTTTTTTTCTTTTATTTGCGAGACAAATGAGTATCATTTTTGGATTCAGGATGTCAAATAATGTAAAAATATGAAACATTTATCAATGAAATCTTGTTAGGACTTAAACCTGACATTTACCGTAAGGGATGGGTAGCTGGCATGACCTCACACTGCTGCGTGCAGTCAGCGGTGGGCCGGTCTCGGTTGCAATGGCCGGTCGCGAGTCTGACCGATCGCAGTGGTTGCTGTGTGTGGTAACAGAAGGCTGACACATGCAGTGATGCAGTGCTGTGGGCGGACCTTGGAGCCTGTGTTCGGTCCTACCACACACAGGGCCTGTGAACAGCCCTCAGGTGTTGGTGTTTGGTATCCATGGAAACTTTTGGAATATTCCTTTTATGCCGTTGCTGTAACTTTCCTCATAATGGGCTGTTTTGCAGTTGAAACAATGGGTGCAAATTGCTGACTTGACACGATGGCGGTTAAATGAAATACTATAAACTAAGTTATCTGTTGAAAATTGAAATTAATTCTGCCAGTATGAGATTTGGGAGGTGTTCAACAGGGATTTTTTGTAGCTTTTCTTAGCACAAGTGCAGCTTCCATAATTCTAAAGTTAAGAACCATAGGTCTTGTTTGAAGTTGGATGGTGTGAATTTTATGCCTAGTGCCTGGTTGGTATGAGTCTCCTTTAGTCCTTTTAAGTTCATATCTGATGATTTTTTACTTCATGTCTTATGGATAAGTCATCAGTCACTTGGACTTGAAAAATGTGACATGATTGATGATCCAGAGCTAATAGTTAGATTATCATGGACTTATGTTATGTCAGTACCTACCACTCAGTTCGTGGCAGTCACAAACTTATCTATATAAGGAGGCAAAATTATGTATGTATACCTATGCCATAAGCAGCACTTTATATGTCTGCTGATGGAATGCAAGCTTTCCTGTCACCACATCACTGAACAGGAAGTTAAGGCAGTGATCAGTTTATCTAAAAGGGAATAGGTATATGTGGCATGTAGTAAAATAAGAGTTATTAGCTGTTCTGTTTTTTTCAGCATCCAGTAAGTGCTGTAGGTATTAACCACACCACTCTAGTGCATCCTGTATCACACCATACTTATCAGCAAAACAATCATATAGCCTTGGGCCAAAACAATTCATGCCTGAGTAAAGATGTTACCTACCTACATAATAATAGCGATTGTTGATATCTGACCTCAACAGTGTGTGCCCACTCAAATATTAACATCTCAGCAATAGCTTGCAAGCCTTGGCCCTGGTATGAAAAACATTGCATTTTGTATTTTAAGGGTGTTTTCTGGAAAAATATTGATTTTGGGTATTCATGTTTCAGAATCTAATAGCATCATCACATCCTTGCAATTTCTGCATGGTGATTACTCAAGATGGATGTTGATAAATGGATTGAAGTGGCAAAAGACTGCAAGTACTTGCCAGAGAATGACCTAAAGGTACAGTGAAACTGTTCATATTGACTGACAGTAGACCATGTACCCACCTAAGCTTTGAAAGAATCTTGGCAAGCCTAGAAAAATACTATGGGCAGCTCTTTGTATTGTATGCAGTTTACTCTTTGACGTAAATGACAGATAGTATGTTAGCTTCTAAAGTAGCAATCACTGTGCAGTCTGTAGCTGATGAAGGTACAGTGGTGGATGTGGATTGTCATCAGTCAGGTACATTCTTAGGTAATATTTCAGTGAATGATTTAGGTAGTATCTTACAGAGATTGTTGGTAGGAGAAATGAAATTTTACAGGATTTGCAATGCAGCTGTGAGGAAAAATGTAAATTATTAATCTCCATTTTTGGTTGTAACATGCAACCATTTCTTGGTTCATTCCCTTGACCTTTGTTTATCTTCCTTTCTTCAGTACAAGTTTATGTCAATATCACAAAATGCGCAGTGTAGATAACTATGAGCCTGACTATGCTCCCTGGTTTTCAGAATCTATGTGACACAGTATGTGACCTGCTGATGGAGGAGTCCAACATTCAGCCAGTGCCGTGCCCAGTGACAGTCTGTGGGGACATCCACGGGCAGTTCTACGACCTGGAGGAGCTCTTCAGGACTGGAGGACAGGTCAGTCAGCCACTCCACAGCAGATCAGTATTCAGTAGCCCTGCTGCCTGGAGTCAGCGTGGATGAAGACCTATACCTTTTTTGTAAAAGGTCTGTCCGGACATGATCAATGTGTTCAGCCTGGCAGTTGAGACTCCTTTATGGTGTAAGCTGTGCAGAAGGTGGAGTATTAATGGCGTTCATAGTTAACTGTCTGGTCTATTCTGGCCGTTTCACCAGGTTCCCGACACCAACTACGTGTTCCTGGGCGACTTTGTGGACCGCGGCTACTACAGTCTGGAGACGCTCACCCGACTGCTGACGCTCAAGGCCAAGTGGCCTGACAAGATCACGCTGCTGCGGGGCAACCACGAGTCGCGGCAGATCACCCAGGTCTACGGATTCTACGGTGAGCGCAGCTCAGCCGTCAGCTGTCGTGAAACGGCAATGCTGCCTCTCCTGCCATCCATGATGAACCTGCTAAATCAGCAATGAGTATGGCTCGATGAGTGGTGGCATACCTAGCCGTGAGCCGAGTAGTGCCGCCTGACGGATGGATACCTGTTTGCAGACGAGTGTCAGAAGAAGTACGGCAACGCCAACGCCTGGAAGTACTGCTGCAAGGTGTTTGACCTACTGACTATCGCGGCGGTGAGTACCTACGCAACGTGTGCTTGTTCTCAATTCGTTGGAGAATCAGTGCCCCGACGTCGGTGTGAGAGTTAGGGTCAAATATGTTAGTTAGCTACATTGCGGCGCCCCTGAACTCGAATAATGATGTTAGTCTCACCTCTACCTCGGTGAATGAGGCCAATGCCGCATGCAACTTCATATTTATTGCATTGAAAATTTGAAGGACACGTAATTTCTCATCGACATTGACAAGAAATACTTTCTTAGCTCACGTAAAACTTATTTATATTTCCATGACAATTGACATGCCTGATAGGCTATGATTTTATTAGTCGTTAAAACGCTGAGTTCACTATTGTGCTTCTATTATAACTGGTGCCACCGGAAATCCATAATGTTCTAACGGCGTGTCGTCCGTCTGCGTGCTACCTATCCATCAGATAATTGAGGACGAGGTGTTATGTGTACACGGAGGTCTATCTCCGTACATACGCTCGCTGGACCAGATCCGTGTGATCGACCGCAACCAGGAGATCCCGCACCAGGGTAAGTGACCGCTGGACGTCAGGTCAGTGACTTGTCCACGGCATGCCCTGCTGGAGTGTGCTGTGTCCGGCGTGGCGGAACATGCACCGGTGGATACACCGTGTACTGCCTTGTTTCGTCGCTTGCGCAGTGCCTTTACCTAGATCACTGCTTGTCAGATATAGCGTTCAATTGCACAGTCAGCTTAAACATCAGTAAAAGGTCTTCTTGATAGGTTTGATGTGCGTTTTCGATTTCCTATGACCAGCGTATATATCGAGCGGTGTTTGGCCGGCCTGCTCGCCCCTCGCGGTGTTCCGTGATCCGACATTGAGTAGTCTGACTTGAGGGCGTTGCCCCGTGACCCCGACATCGAGTAGTTAGTCTGACCAGACGGTGCCGTGCTCCGTCTCAGGGGCGTTCTGCGACCTGGTCTGGTCAGACCCCGATGACGTGGACTCGTGGTCCACCAGTCCGCGCGGCGCCGGCTGGCTCTTCGGCGCCAAGGTCACACACGAGTTCATGGCGGAGAACAGCCTGAAACTCATCTGCCGGGCACATCAGCTCGTACATGAAGGTAAGTGTGTCGCGACGTGATGGTGTCTGAAATGGGTAAAGCCGTCTATTTTACTCCTTGCGTATCAGCCTAGCAAGTGAATGAAATGAAATCGTTTAGCCCAATTCCTTTGAACTCCTACAAGTCATGTTTGTTGTCAGCAACACTCGAACTGGTTTCGCCTTGGCTCAATAAGCTAACTAGTCTTTCCGCAAGTTCAGATGCAGACTGTCATGCCATTCTGCAGTTGACTGAGCCGCGACCGCTCTCGTTTGGACAGGGTACAAGTACGTGTTCGACGAGAAGCTGGTGACGGTGTGGTCGGCGCCCAACTACTGCTACCGCTGCGGCAACGTGGCCGCCGTGCTCTGCTTCAACGACATCAACAGCAAGGAGGTGAAGATATTCCAGGCGGTACCCGAGGAACAGCGCAAGGTGCCGCCCAGCATCACCACGCCCTACTTCTTGTAGGCCGCGGCCGTGCCGGTATGGAAAGGAGAGACACTGGGACGCCCGCGTGGGACGGTCCATAGACGGCGGCGGGCCGAGGGAGCGCGCTGTGACAGCACGGGTCTGAACTGCGGCAGGATGGGAGCCGCTGGCGGGGCGGCAAGCCGGTGAGGTGGTAGGTCACCGGTGTGTGCTGAGGCGCCGCGGCTGGTGGCGGGCGCTGCCCAATACGCACTGCCGCCGGCGAGGCCGCGCAGATAATACCGCGGCGGTCGGAGCCCTGCGGCACGGTGTGCAGGAAGAGCAGTGTAGTGTGTCTAGCTGTGGCCGGAGCCGATTGATTCATGCCATGTGGTGTGGGCTGCGGAGGAAGCCGTGTGCGCCGCGGCGCTCACACCTCGGACGGGCCGTGCCTCGTTCCACAGATCGCCTGCAGGGGCGATGAGATGACCGAGTCGACTCGCTCAGACTCAGTGTTGGCGAGCTGTCATAGCGGGCGGGCGAGCGAGCGCGTGATGTGACAACAAAGCGAGAGCATGCCGCTCATAATCCATTGTACTGGGTGAGTGGAGGCTGGTCGGGAGGCTCCGCTCAGCACGAGGCAACTGCCACCACGGGGCGCCGCACCCGGCTCTGTAATCGTACGTGGATTACAGAGCCGCACCCGTGTGCCCTACTGAACTGTTAGTATGTGACACTGTACCGTGCTGTTTGGCCGTGTACGTACCGGGGAGCCGATCGACTGGTTATATGTGTACTCTCTGTGGTGCGCGGCGTCGTATTGCGCCACGTAAGTCTCCTGCGCCGAGATTGACCCGTGTGTACCTGGCCCCGCGGCGCTGTGCCGGGCGCCGTTTTATTGACAGGACCGTTATTAGTTAGTTGCTGACGCGGTGTTCGCTGCTGCGGGACGCCGGGACGCTCACTGTCAACTGCAGAAATACAGTCCATAATTTGTACCCGGACTTGATGGGCAGGTCTCCCGTTCATTTTGCTTTGCTTGAGAGGCGTTGAATGTGGGAAATATTATCTATGGCAGGTATATGGGAGGGTTCGTAGACATTTTTTTAGGTATCGAATTCTATGCGTACTCATAGATGCATGCGTATATATCGGATCGCATAAACCGTTCCATCGCAGATAAGGTACTCATGTAATAGCTCGATAATGAAGAAGCGCAATAGGGTCAGCCGTGGTCCTGGTTTTACCTATATGGTAGCACAGCATGAACTATTTGTTTATGATAGCCCAGCTGGGCTGCGGTTGCATTAGCCTGTAATCGGAATCGCCTCTATCGGGTCCTAAGTCCAGAAAGCATTTGAAGTTACATTTCAATCTCAAGTACGAAACTGTCACTCCGACTGCAAAATCATGCATCATAATTATTTGAACTTAAATCACCACGACAGTGACCGAGCTGCAACCCACAGGACAAATGGCACCAGCTGGGCATAGGCAATCCTTTTTTGAGAATTTCTCGCGTTTACATAAACAATAGGCCAGGCGCAAGCAGACGTCATATTCCACAATGCAAAAATGGTCGAAATTGTAAATGGCGTGACACTGACTGTTCGTCTGGTTTGGTGTGAGCAGTGCAGTGCATCACGATACACTCGGGTTTCAATATGATTTGTGGCGTTCAGCAGTGACCAAGCCTGACCAAATGTTACGTACAAGTACTTATCACATAGTGTATTCGCATGCAACCATAACAACTGCTTAGCATAATTCCTTACATAAATAGAGCATTCCACCAAGCCAGCGGGTCATGTGACGCCGAACCCGGCGAGCGGTGGCCGAGGGTGGGTGCCCGCGCTGACCGGCGCGCCGCCACACCCGGCACTTACAACCAAGCCAAGCGAATAACGAATGTAAACCGGCTGCATACGCACGAGAGAAGGATTACGTAGTGACGGATACGACTGAGGGTTACACACTGCGGAATACGGTATCACGGCCTGCGAGATGGGCCGGCGGGGCGGGGCGCCGCGTCTCGGGCCGACTCACCGTTGGACACGGCCGGGAGGACTGCCGCGCCGCTGACGTGCGGGGCAGCGAACAGGGCGCGGCGCCGGCGCACCCTGCGTGCGGGGCACGGCGCCGCCGGCTCTCACACCCAGTGCACGGGGCGCGGCGCCACATATGGCGGTAGGGGCGGCAGGGACGCCACCCGGGCCTGTCCTCAGACCCTCAGATCAGCGGCAGCCCGCCTCTGCCCGGCGACACCGCTCCGTCCCTCTGCCCGCTGACGGCAGCTGTTCCGTCCCTCTGCCCAGTGACGGCAGCTGCTCGCCCCTTTGCCCGCAGACGGCAGCTGCTCCTCCGCTGACGGCAGCCCCTTCCCGTGGTGACTGGCTCTGGCCCGGTGGGACCCCGGTCCAGAGCTCTGCGCTCGACGCTGGGCCTGCTGCCCACTACATGTTGCGGATCTTGCCGGGGACGTAGTTTTTGTCGATGACCGGCTCCTGCAGGAACATGTGCAGGCAGCGCTCGTTCTGGGCCAGCGGGTGGCCGGCCACCCTGCCGGAGAGAGAGCGCGGCCGTCAGACACCGACACGAGGACTGCGGTCAGGGACCAGACGCGGTGCGAGGGGGGGGGGGGGGGGGCAGCGGTCAGGGTACGACCGGCGTCACCGCCGTCCGAGAGACCGGTGCGCCCGGACCAGGGACCGAACAGCTGGCGGCAGCAACGGGCTGATCCCGATGACATATTAGCGGAGCATTGTTGGATGGCTGGTGCGGCGAACTAGCAGGCACGGACGGAATCATACTAAAAATCGGATGATTTAAGAAACAAAAACTCCACGGAACATTTGTGAAAAATTGAACATTTGTGAAACTTGATGAAGATCTCGAGCAAAAAGGCCTTGCTGACAGAAACGGCTGGTGCCGCCAGTTTTCTGTGAAGCCGACTCCTCTACTCCGCGCTAACCATACGCTCGTCACCAAGGGATAAATGGATGCCGGCTGGGGAATGTTTACATTCCAGCCAGACGCCAGTTGCCAGTACACACCGAGGGCATGGCCAGTGGTCGGCCATACCACTAATGTAACTATGGTTAGAATGCCGAAAGACAGACATCACACTGGAATAAGAGAGAAAAAAGTTTTGGCAAGGGTCAAGAGGTTCGGTAACACCGCTAACAATGGCGGCTTCTCGAATCCAGATAAAATTGAACTTTTATAAGGAAAATAAGGTAGGAAACAATGAGTTAAAATCGTCCTGGCTCCAACTATTTTACATTTGATAGAAACAACGTACCCTTCCTATCAATAGCAGTAGTTTCTAGAACAAATGGACAGTGACATTTGCATAAATGGTTTAGCTTGCATCAATAAACATACGATTCACGATCGGGCAGTGGGGCTCACTTGGGTACCTACACAACATGCCACGTAAAGCAACAACACTTCGAATGCAAACACTGATAAAAAGGGCATCATTCCATTAGGAGCATCACGGCACTTGTCAGCCACATACCGCTTACCTATCCCAGTCGGAATAAGGAGGCTCGATGGCTGCTTTCAATTATAAACAGTCACGAACATAGCGAACAGCATCGATCGTCGTGCGTCTGGAGCGCGGAGTGGCCCCGCAGATGGTCCGGACTAGAGTTTACTGAGTTTAGAATCAGTTTTAACAGTGAGCGTAGGACAGGGTGAAAGCCAGGCTCTGTTTCACAGTCAAATAAGCATCTCCTGTGAAAAAGTTCATAACTGAAGTTTAAACGCCTTTTGGTATACATTTTCAATGTCAAGGACGATATTTCGGGCAGTAGAAATGCCACTAGCAAGGAAGATTGCCACCGGATCAATAGCCAGCCGACTCACTTGTTGATGAACACCTCGAGGGCAGTGCGGCGCTCCTCGATGAAACCCTCCTCGTAGATGCCGTCATCGGAGCGGAACGGCAGCTGCCGCTTCAGCGCCTTTCCCGGCAGCGTCGGCACCACGATCTGCGGGCACACAGACACAACCGCGTCAGGCCGGCGGCGAGCGTCAGCGGCACGGCCGCAGAACGAACGTGACCCAGACAAGGCAACAAACGCTGACCATCGCATGCGTGAAAATGTCACAACTTTTATGTGGCGAAAGATACACGAAATACGAGAAATATAACGTGAATAAATATTGATAGACCTTGGCAAGAAGACCAGGTAACACTACCTAGGACCAACACTACCGACAAAGACACTCTACTTAACTCATCAATGCCTGAGCTGTTGTGACCGCTAGCATTCGTCACAGTTCCGGTATATTATGTTCTCACCTTGCTGTCCCGCTCCAGTTCGCTCCTCAGCCACTCAAACTCGCTATACCTCCGGCGTACGCTCGACTCCTTCACTTTAAACACGGGGAGATTCGTCTGCAACATAACGACATACACATTACACAGATCAGCGACAAGTGCCGTGATATCAGACATCGTATGACTAACCACCAACGACAGTGCGCTATAAGCTACGAAACGATAGAGCGAAAATACTTGGCATGATGAGGTTTATAATCGAAAACCGAGCAGCAACAAAAGAACATAAAGGCTGCTTACCCTCATCCGAACTTCGTAGTCGGTGTACCGCTTGGTGCCAAGTCCGTGGGTGATTGGATTTACGACATCAATCTCCAGGAAGTTGGCTGGCGCTGCATACGCGTCATCGAGAGTCTGCTTCTTGGCTGCCAGTCGCCGCGTGGCATCCAAACTGTTGTCGGTCATCGTGACACCTGCAGAGTGTAAGACATGGTATGAGCTTAGCCTTAGCTTAGAAAATACAAGGTCAAAACAGCACATGAAAAAGGTCCAGGGAATACTTTTAACACATGGCTGCTATCATTTTAACGTAGGTACGTAGGTATTGTGTGGTATTGTGCACTATGGTTGACACTTGACGGTGTAATTGATTGAGAAGCATTGTGTACTGAAGCGGTAGCTATAAGGATGAATAAGTTAGGTACAAAAAGAGACCATGAGCATTGTTCATTCACCTATTTACCTATTTTAACTTCTTTTTGTGTGAAAATATTTCACATCATTGGAAGTGGCTGCACAACAGCTGTGTAGTACCTATGTGTGCTGTCTTCGCATTTATTAGACCCACCCCCATCCCAGTACACTAATGGTCAACTCAACAGCTCTAGTTTGGTAACCTTGCCTCCAAAACCAATAAACCAAAACCAATAAACAAAACCAAAACCAATTTGTCCTGTCATCATCTCTTTAGTTTTGAACTTTGAAGATTGAATGGGTGCAATATTATCAGCTCCAATAGCTTGTGATTCTTAATGCATGTGACCTGAGGTCATACGTACTACTCACATCATCACTGCTAGATGTTGTCATAAATCTGTGAAAGAACTGAGTGTTGTAACTCATGTATTCAGTTATAGTCAGCTTGTCTTGAGTGGGGTGAAGAAGGACATAGCCAAGTATTTGCAATCAGTCACATTTTTGCTCAGAAGGTTCTTTCACAGATTAATGACAACATTTAGCAGTGATGCAAACTTTTCAATGAGACAAAGCCATGTGTCATGCTTAAAAAAGCTTGTTGAAAAGGCTCTGACCCCACACTGACCAAGCAGACAATGTCAGGATGAATCAGAAAAAGTTTAGCCACAGTTAATTGTAGGTGCCCACCAAAACCAAACCAAGCATGTCCCATCCCACACAACTGTCTTCAACTGGCTGTGAGTTGTCACTGCACTGCACCCACCAACCACAGACCATCCCTGTCAGAAGTCTCATAGAAGCATCATACACTGGCCATTATGAGCCTTAACTACAACCATCTATTAATGGAGCTAAAAACATTTATTAACAGAGCTACAGCAGAAGACTGATTGGTTACCATATGATGTATGTTCACCAGATTGATCAGCAAGACCATGGTGCAGTCCAATAATATCAGACATACCTTACCCTACCTTACCTACACTTATCAGGATTTTGAAAGGCACTATGCCGGAAGGCCCTAATCTCGTTGAGTGCCTAGGTTCTGGATTAGTACATGGATTGTAGAAAGGTATGAAGACCATTTGTCACTCAGTTTGTATTCAAGACAAGTCATCTGTCAAGAGCAATAGACAATGTCAAGGCGCATGTAACTGAAACAGAGATCAGACATGATGTTAACAGAGATGAATGTTAGGAATGAATGAGGATGAATAAGAAAGGATAACACATCATTACTCTCACATAATTTTGCATGCATGTCACACAACACATTATTCTCTGTTTCCATTCCTTAAGACCTACCTTTTGACCACCTACTGAGTAGGACGGAACCTACCTACACTTAAAAGCTGAGACGAGAGTACAACAGTAAAATAGAGGAATGTGGATGAAAGAACAATAAAATACTTTTGATAACTCATAGGGTGACTATATTATGTTAAAATACAAAACGTGTCCAACTTATCGATGAGTTTTATTTGCGCCCCACCAACCTAATTGTAATGAGATGATGAAGCCACCTTTCACAGTACCGTGACGTAAGCCACGATTTGAAAGAAAAGGAGCAGACAGCAAATGGTGTATATGTACCAAGAATGTAAAGATCTCTCAGATGACAAAAAAGAAATATCGAAAAATACGGAATTTTGCAGCAAAACCTCCCAACACAACACAGACAAAACTCCGTCGTTTATGATTGCGCCACAAATGTCATCAAATTAGCATTTGTGTTCAAGAATGACCTTACGTTTATCAAGAGCAGGAAAGGTATGAGAATTAAACCGAAAATTTGCATGAATGTAATCAATTAGATTGCTAAAAAATCTTTTGATATCATATTCATCATTTTAAAAAGTGTTTAATATTAATTAGGCTTAGAAAAGTGATGAATTTTTAGAAAAAGCTATTGATTTGACGTCACTTTATGAAGAGCATGACGCAGAAAACTTACATCAACAGTCAGTAATTAGTAAAGAACATGGAATGTTCTCGGGCACGGCACGGGCCGGGCACTGCACGGAATTTGTGCACGGATTGGAGCACGGGCGCGCGCGTGGTGTCTGGCAAAAGTGTGGGTGCCGGTTCCTCGCGGATTTTCTGAATTTTTAGAACGGTTTCATGCGTCCATCGTATTTGTTTTTATGTTATTGTTATGTATAGCGAGAAAGTGACTAAATTGAAATTGATTGTAGTGTCACAGTCAGTGTCGTTAGCTGGAACTTGGAACTTGGAAGGACTGAGCACTGCAACTGAGCGGAGTCGGAAATCTTAAACTATACTGACAAAATACAATGCAAATTGTGACATTCCAATTCACTAATGATTTGTGATACCTGTGCCTGGCTGCTTGAGCTATCCTATAATGTTTCATTGATGTTTAAATTTTCTTCCTGTTAGCTAGGATGAATGCAATATAGATGAATGGTAGGACTTGTTCGGCAACCACCGAGTAGAATTAATTGACATGCATCGTTCTACCCTGACCGACCTCCTACATACCTATTTCAACCAGTCCATGCCCAAAAAGTTTGCTTGTGAGTTGTGTTTGTCGGAAGTTAAAGTAATATATTTCAGAAGCTTTTTATTCCAGTTGCATTTTCTTTTGATTAACCTATAACCCACATCTATCATGTGCTTCTTTAAGAGGTGTTAGTACTGGCACCTTTCCGTAGTGTTATCCCACCCCACTGTTCCCTTCCACACATTAGGTTTTGAAAGCCAAACTAGGGGCTTGGGCTTTGTTGTTTCAATCGCATTGAGCTCCTGCCTAATGGCATTTCAGTCCTGGACTGCAACTAGGATGTTAATTGATGCATTATTATAGTGAGGATATAGTTAAGTTGTTTTGTTGATTGAGGCATAGAGGATGAAACAGACTGAAAGGTCATTCCAGTATTTGATAGCTGGATAGATGTTAGTTTACTCTAGCTATCACAATCATAGTGCTTTTATCATTACTATAACATTATTGGTCTGTAATGGCTGAATTCAGTCACTGGAAAAATTGTGTTTACAAGTGTCATGAAGCAGCTTGTTCCTCATGATATACTTCTTATGTCATAAAAAGTATCTTATGTAGTTCTGATCAGATGCATCATGTTATCTGGCATTAATTTTTTCCCCTCACCTGAGTATGATAGATAGGTTGATAAGTTTTGACTAGCAGAATGCCAGTTCTGCTATTTTCCATTGCAGCCTAGTATTTTTCTTGTTTTTTTTTTTCAGGTCTGAGCATAAAGTCCAATCATCAAGCACATTACCATGGATAATGAAAAATTTGATGGAATGCTCCTGGCAATGGCTCAGCAGCATGAGGGGGGCATTCCTCAGGTGAGTGGTGTGGCATTCACTCAGCTCATTATCAGTGTCTCCAATCTTCAAATTTAAAGATTCAATCACACATGTTTGTCAGGGATAACAAGTGTCTCATTTTGGATTTGATTTTCACAATGATCCATATTGGACCAAATGGCAAGAGTGTGACATTTATTCATGACATATTTGATACAGCATGAGGTGTACTGACTACTGGGTATACTTTTGGCAATGATGATGGAGCTACCATATACACACCACAATGATGTTGATCCATTGCTCATTGGCTCTGCTTTCACTTCAGCTGCTGGACACTGTGTTCAGTTTTCTGGCCAGGAAGACAGACTTCTACACAGGTGTAAGTGAAGAAACTGCCAAACAGGTGAGTCAAGCAGACAAGTTTTTTTTGGGGGTGTTCAAACCCTTAACCCTATTCCTGGCGGGGGGGGGGGGGCCTCAGGAGCCCCCCCCTGAGGTTTTTTGGTTATTTCTCCCAAACGCGTTGAGCTAGGAAGCTCAAACTTTCTGACTTTTCCTAAGAGGCTTCTACGCAACATGTCTGAAAATTTTGAGTTGATCTGACCTCAGGTCAGGTCACCAGAGGCGGTTTGGTGACCCTACCTCAGAAAAGTTTGCAATCACGCCAGAGCTAGAGTTTTTGACCGATCAATTTCTTCTCTTCAGGCTTTAGTTAGGGTACCAGTATGTGCAATTTGTATATCTCGGAATTTTGATATCGGTGACCTAAGGTCAGGTCAGTTTCGCGACCTCCCCATTATAAGTCAATGGGGAAAAAATCAACTCCCTGTTTTTACCACTAAAACGGGTCGGAATGGCCCCATATACCATGCATGACTTCATATACGATCAACCTTCACTACCTTGAGGTCTATTTTGCTGTTGGGCAGCTGTGAGGTCATGTGACGTCATCAAAGGTCACCAAAGGTTTTTGGCCAATAACTCCGTACAGGAACAAGATACAGACGCGCGGATGGTCTCATTGTGTTCAGCTCGTCAAGACGCATCGAATGATATACATGATGACCTCGAGGTCACGTGACGTGAGGTCAACCTTTGACCTTGACCTTTCGAGGTCAACATATATATCATTCGATGCGGATTGATGAGAGGATCACGATGATGCCCGTAGTTTGCTCCTATCTTGACTAATTCGAAAGTTATTCGAGAAAAACTCTCCATATCTAGCGCCGCCATTTTGACTTTTTCGACCCCTGTGACGTCATCTTTGACCTGACCTGAAAATGACCTTCGTAAAAATTGTAGATCTTGACCGTGCGTATCCGATGCCGTTTACCGCTTGTCGCTATCTTGCTTCGTTCTCGAGATCTCAGGGGGGGGGGCCGAATCGGCCCCCCCCCCCGCCAGTTTCTTGTCCCGGCGGAGCCCGCCAGGAATAGGGTTAACCCGCGCCCCGTAGGGGGGGCCGAAACGGCCCCCCTGTCCTTTTCGGTCGATATCTCCTAAACGGCTAGAGATATCGCCACCAAACTTTCAGGACCCCTCCGGGCATCAATTTTACACATTGTGACCAAAAATTTTTCCAGAGGCTATGATAGGTTGGCCACAAATGACGTCAGAGTGACGTCATGTTCTGTCATTTTCGACCGAAAAAAGACCTTCGCGAGAAGACCTGTCAGGACTACAGCTTTGAAGATACAGAAAAATGATCAGGACATAAAAGGTGTACAATTGACAGGGCTACAAAACTGCTATCTCGAATTTTTAAAATTTTTGAGTTTTGACCCCCAAAAATCAAAAAAGCATTTTTTTGGATATATTCGCCAAAAAATCAAAAAAGTTTTTTTAGTTTCGAAAAAAAACGGAATATATGTGATAGTGCCTACCATCTTCTATCTACATACCAAATTTCAAATCGATACCTCGTTTTTTGGCCAAGTTATAGCGAAAAAACTGTTCAAAAATGATGACTTCAAATTTTCAAACTCAATTTTTGGCAATTCTAGAACTCGTAGAGCAAAACGAAGACCACCATTAGACTCCCCGTGACGAGCTGCATCGAATCGATACCCATTTTATGCAAAAATATAAACTTTGAAATTTGACCTAATTTGACCTGACCTTGACCTGACCTTCACAAAAACGTGACCTAGGCTGGCCCCAAAGGCTGCCTAACCCACATAATCGCATTTGTCATGTAAAATGGACCATAAAACATGTATCACACGACACATTCATATTGTGACCCCCGGTGACCTGACCTCGCTGTGACCTGACCTGGTATCAGTGACCTCAGATAGCAAAGTATGTGTTTAACGAACAATGTACCATCGATGGTTTTCAATAAATTACCAATTTACTCGCTTTCACAGCACATTTCTTGAAAATTGCCTGTGAACGGTGAAAATCTGACCTTTGACCTGACCTGTGACGTCATCGGTTTGACCTAGGTCAATGAAATTTGGTCACAAGGTAGTTCCCGGGTGGGGCTATCGAACGCCGTTTGAATTTTGAAAATCGGCCGGTAACTTTCCGAGATCTTAGGGGGGGGCCGAAACGCCCCCCCCCCCCCTACGGGTGGTAGGGTCCGCCGGTAGCCCTACGGGGCGCGGGTTAATACATACCTAGAGAATGTTATTCCCCTTGGTAGTATTATTTTCATTTCATAGTCTCTAGGCAATTTAGAAATGGCATAGATAATCAACATGTGTATGCAAAAGCATAAGAATAAGCTGCTATGAAGATAGGTGGCATAAACAGGTTTGCACAGTCGGATTTGATCGGAACCGACAGATCTTGCCGGAGGCGGAGTCGCTGTCGATTTCCGACTCGGAACTCCGATGATGTCGGGTTTTGACTCGGGATTCGGAATATGTCGACAATCCATGACTATAGGTCGTTTTTTTCTGCTTTTTGGAGCATTCAAGCTCGTTTTCAAGCTATTGCTCGTGTTAACCCTCTCTCGTACTGGTGTTCTGCCAGCCACCAGTGTCAGCGTGTCACACGGACCTCTGTTCTTTGCGCCCCAGCTGGTCCTGGACAAGTTCACCGAGCACGGGCGGCAGGCGATGGACGCAGCGGCCGAGAAACGGAAACGGAACGAGGAGGCGGACCGGCGGCGGCGCGAGCGTCTGGAGCGCGAGCGGCAGCAGGAGCAGGCGCCGCCGCCGCCGCCGCCCCAGCAGGCGCAGATCACAGAGGTCACTGACGAGGAGGCCGAGCGGATCCAGAAGGAGATCGAACAGAAGGTGAGACGGGGAGACGACCCGACGGGGAGGGCGACGGCGCTTACTCGCGTAAAGGTGTTCCAGTACACGCGCAGTAGCGTATCGCAGGACATTGAAATGCAGGTCTATGATCAGTCGCAAGGCATCAATATCCTACTCTGTTCACCTTCACATCGACCCATGCTCCTAAAAGCATCGGTGCCTTTCTCCATACGCTGATAGGCGGGCGCGTTAGGAATTACTGTGATTGGGATTTTCTGGTTACATTTACTGAGTCACTTGGCAATTGCTTCACATCCTAGAAATAGCATATCCCAGCTTGGTACAGGTATGTGACAGCATAGTAGGATTTTGTAACAGAATCACTTTTATTTGCTTGATCCGTACGTTTGCCTGATTTGCAACATTGTCCGTTAGAAAGCACAATTGTGACGCCTCCAATATGTCTCATACAGAGGACACATGCGTTTCCAGCCTTCTCCGTAGCTTATGTTTTTGCGGTTTTCAGGTGAACAATATTTTTTGCACGAATGCTTGTATAGGGTAAATTATGGGCAGTTTGCAGGCAGCCTTTTCCCGTTAACGTGTTACGTGTGTAGTGCGTCAGACGCATCGACCACATTCTTGGCGCCGTGACCTACATTTGCCGTGCTGGGAATCTGCGTATGGACGGAATGACGCATCTTGCACTGTCCCTGGGTCACGGTCAAATAAACCTCAGAAACCGCATATGATTCTGATATCCTGATGATTCAAGATCCGAGAAAACGTTTTCCTGTGGTACTCAAACTACCTTTCTCTCAACGCAATTCTTTCAGCTAGTGTAGACTTGCTTTTCATTTAGTCGAATGCGTGTAACTGAAGTGCCATAAGTTAATCAAAGTAGGTACAGTACTTTGATTCACTGAGTTGCGGCTTGTCCGTATCCACCTAGTATGTCCGCCTCTTACCCGAACTATTGTTTCTCGAACTAACGCCCGCTCGGCTTCCGCTTTCAGTCAAAGGCTACCGGTGACGCGCCTGCCAAAGAAGAAGAGGAGAAGAAGAAGGCCGATGCTGACGACGAAGAGGAAGACGAGGACTCCAAGGGCAAGATGAAGCCCAACGCTGGCAACGGCTGCGACCTGGAGAAGTACCAGTGGACTCAGACGCTACAGGAGGTCGAGGTAAGTGCCGCAGGGCGGCGGGGATTCGAAACAGAGGTTCGACGCATTATCTGCAGATGGCAGCACATCGATGGGAGATCCAACAACCGCTTTTTACCGTTCACCGTGGTTACGTCGTTCGCTACCGCGAAGTTCTGCTGCAGGTGAATGGTGGGCCGCTTTTGCGGTCTAAAGAAGACCCTGAACAATATTTTTGTGGGTTGAAGCTTGCGGTATAAAATCGTTCGCATCAGCTGAGTGTCCGATCACCTGACTTCCAGCGGTGCGGTGAAGGAAATTGTACGGCTCTGCACGATTGGAATTTCCTCTGCCGTGTCACTGAGCATGGCAACGATCACCTCTGTCACTTGTGCAGAGTTTTACATGACGTTTGACGTCATTCCCGGGTTTCTGTGTTGCGGTGCTCTGAGCGGTCCCACCCCACCCACCGGGTCGAGACCGAGTCACTCCCGTGCTCCCTCCTCTTCCTCCCCTGGTGCCGGGCCGCGCCGCCTGTCCCCGGGCCGCTGGACTCTGATACAATGGGAGGTCGTCAGCCTGTGGACGGCGCTGGCGGCTGGCCATCTGGTGGCTCTCTGCGGACCGCCGGTCACGGTCCCCCAGGTACCAGTCAAGGGTGTGCCCGATGACGGACTTTGGGACTGGTTATGGCAAACTCATGACGCTTACCATTTATATGGAAACTGGTTTGGCATTGATGCTGGTATTACTTAGGTTTTCTAAACATGGAACTTTGAAATCAGCACGCCCTGCTCCATGGTTTTAACTGCTTACTATCACTTTTCTAAAGCCGACGTCACGTAACAGGCGGTTATGCGGCGTTGTGAAAAATGTTACCGAAACTATGTAGGAATCTGGGTGTTCTAATAATTAGTGATGAATTCTCTCTGGACCGAGATCAGGTTATCGATGGGGATTGAGCGGGCCACGTAACGGCTCATTAAATGGCCCCGATCGGACCGGGCGGGGCGCCGAGCGACAGGTGGTGCTCCGGCAGATATAAGCCGCCAGCGCCGCGCGCCCGTCTATTGGTCCGGTGTGGCTTACTCACAAGGAGTCGTAGATTTTATTCGTTTCACGCAGCGGATAACAGTAATGGTGAGGTTGATTATTATTTACTGATGCTCAAACATAAAGCGTCCGTTTTCTTTGCGTCCCTATTAGAGATTAAGAGTATGAATTGATGAATGTCGGACTTTTTACATGAAGTGATATTTTTTACCCATAGGTTATGGCTGATTGTTGGAAGACGTTCACTGAATCTGGTCTTGTAGCCGGGAAGTCCCCTGGAAGCCTGGCACTGTGAATTAGACCTTGCCGGCATTTTGTTTATTGTCTAAACCGCAAATGCCGGGAATGACCTTGTGGGGCTCCCCATTATCGTGTTGTGCTAATCGCCCTTAGCCTCCATTAAACGTTAAGTGTTTTCGTGGCGACAGCGTAGAGACGATTATGTCTGAGCGGCGACGATTAGCGCCGCCTGAAGCACCGCCCCCTGCCGATGGCGTCCAATATTCAACACGAATCGCCAGCACGATATTGTGCACGGTGTGAGACATACATACTCTGATTGCAAACCACTTGGGGGACCTGAACTTTGATGAGCGCTTTAAGTATGGGCACCTTCATTTTGTTTTGTGACTTCGTCTCAATGGACGCCTCTTCTGTCCAACCAGCGCACCGTGGGGACTTTTGCGATCCTAGCACGACATAAGTGGCAAATACGAGTATTTTGATATCCTCTTTCTTTATATTCTTTCTACGCAGAATTGTCCAGTGTATCCGAATCCGACCTTAAATCGCTTTAAAAATGATGACTTACACATCAAAATACGTCACAAAGTGAAGGGTTGCGCTGACTAGCACCGTGCTCCTAGGATAAGGCGAAAAATTACATGACAACGGAACGCCTGCTCACTCGTTTAATCAAGCACCAATTCGATGTTGCGACATGTTTTTATAATATGTATTTAATGAGGAATACGAGCATATGCATGAAAAGTTCGAAAAATAATCCAAAGGTATGATTTTTGAATGAAATACAAAAAATGTTAATATGCCACTTGTCTCGGAGATTTGACTCAGCAAATCATAGCCTTACAAAGTGAGTTACGCGGTGTTACGTGTGGAAACACATATCAAAATATTCTCCCATAAATTCTGCATTGGAATCAACTCTTATATTTTGCCCACTTTTGCCCAAACAGCTACTACGAGACATCAAAGCAGAAGATGTCGCGTGGCTCCCAGCGCTCCGCCGCGCTGCCCGGCGCCGCGGCGGTCAGCTGACTGCGGCGTACCGCCGCAGGAGTTACGCGTGGAAACACATATCAAAATATTCTCCCATAAATTCTGCATTGGAACCAACTCTTATCTTTTGCCCAATTTTGCCCAAACAGCTACTACGAGACATCAAAGCAGAAAATGTCGCGCGGCTCTCAGCGCTCCGCCGCGCTGCCCGGCGCCGCGGCGGTCAGCTGACTGCGGCGTGCCGCCGCAGTAGTGTCGTGCTAGGAGGGGCAAAGACCCCACAGTGCAGCGCCAGGGACTTCGCTGTGTAAAGGCCAGCCACTTTTTCACGTATATTTGGCTCTTGAAGTAATTTCATTGTTGACAACTAACGTTTGTAAATCGAGATGTTTAGGTAGAGAGGTATATCGAGGTAGACTGCTGGGCGTTCCACTGAAGCTCGACAGAACTGAAAACGGTCTCAGAAAAAAGCAAATCGCTACTAAACCTAACCGATGTATGGGCATTGGGCATGGCTGATACGATCCCGTCCACCATTCATTATCATATAACTGATAACACTATCATGTTGATGTGTGTTAGTTTCATCGGACCTCACCGAGACATATGGATATCGTAAGACAAACTAAAGCTGCCCCAAAACAATGCCGTGGTGAAGAATCCAACCGACCACCGTTTTCGAGTCGGGTTACATAACTCATCGCGTCACGCCCTTTTGCGTACACATTTGATCGAGGCTCTTGACTGAGCGACGCTGATCAAACATTGCCTTTGTTAGACTCTCGCTTTTGTTCAGGTATCTCATTCTGTTATTTTTTGTCGCTGTCACTAGTTCGACCAGAACTGGTACGCGTTTGCCTTGAGAAGACCAGCTGTGGCACCGTTCGACCCACAGATGCAAACAGTAAATCGACCCTCGCAGTTGTTCGTAGGTTCCTTTGTGAAGGTGGTGTGGTATGCAACTCCGTTGGGAGAAATGGATTCCTTTGTGACTGGTATACACCCTGCCCATATGTCTTGTATGTGTACTCTGGTGACCCCTGTTGTGTATGCGATCTGTGATCGTCCTGACTTCACAGATACATTTTGTGTACATTCAAACACAGGTGTGTTTGCTGTCTCCCCGCGAAAGCTGTTCGCCCCGTGCTTTTTAGCTATTATATTGTCTTTACTTTCCACGTTATCTTTTTTTCTTCTTCATGTTCACAGTATTTCCGTGTTTATCATCCCTTTACCTATGCGTGATTGTGTGATGTGTAATGTGATTCGGTGTTAGGCTATCATTACGAATACTTGTTGAGAACGGACCATTCTGGTTTAGTCTCATTATCTATTCGGCTCCTTGTCCAAATGCTGTCTTCTTATTGGCAACTAAGTAACATTATTTGATCTTTTCCCCGGCTGATATTATGTCTGGCACGTCTGACATTCCACACTGTCTCCCAAGATATGAGTGATTTATTTACATCGACCGCATACACTCGGAGAAAATGCGAGCAAGCTCAGGTCGTTACTTACACATACAGTCTCATCTCGACGCACTTACGCCGGGATGCACACGCTGTCCGTCCCAGTTCGCATTACCACTGATCACGGGATGAATATATAGACACGCAGTGTGTGGCCATCCACGGGTCGCCTCGCTCGGCGGCGAGTGGCTCGTCCCTCTGTCGCACGCGAGCGCCCTCAATAAATAGCTCGTGCGTGGTCGTCGAGTCGGCTGTGTCGATGCCCGTCGGTGCGCCCCGGCTGGCTGCGGTGGCGCCTGGGTGGCCGGCCGGCGGCGGTGTCGGTGTCGCGGACTGGGTCCGCGTGGGCTCCGGCGCGGCGGAGTGGGCGCGCTAGACGGCAGGCAAACCGCCAGCGCTTCATCTCCTCCGCCACAGATACACTGGAACGCAGAGGGCGGGGTCAGGTCAGGGCCGCGGCAGACGCTGCTAGGTCGGTCAGGTCGGGGCATCGCTCGGGGCATCTCTGGCTGTGTAGGTGTTGTGGGGCGGCTGATTTGACCAGAGATCGTGGTGAAGGTCGACGAAGGCAATTTGTCTCTCCGAGTGTGAGGACCTGTGCCGGTTGTGACGGCTGTGATTGCGCTCTGACTACAGACAGACGCCATTTTAGGCGCAGGAACCGAGCAGCGCCGATCGAGGTGCGGCTACTGAGCCATGCTGATCCCGCACCGCCCATCTCCCGACCCGTGGAGCTGCCCTGTTATGGGCAGGGCGTCAGGCGCGCCAGGGTCATGGCATCTTGAGCGGATGGAGCGCCGAAGCGGGTGGTTTACCTACCATCCAGACCACCGCTTGGGACTGGCGGAGGTCGCGTCATGCCATGACGTCGACCTAATGTCATAACACCGCCATCACTAACGTCCTAACAAAGCCATCGGCACACGCGGCCTCTGAAGCACTGCGGGCCACTGTTGACTGTTGAGTGACTGCCGACTTATGGCGGTCTCAGCCCACCTCTCCCCGTTCAACGCGCGACTCTCGGCAGCTCGGCCAGGAAGTGACACAGATGGGCGGCGCCCAAGGCTTCAGCGCGCTGCTCAAAGAAGCGGTCTGTGCTTGTCGAGCGGGCGTGGATCAGCGGGTTGTCTGCCGACAGCCGGCTTTGTAAACAGCGGCGCACCGGTGAAATCCGCTCCGATCGACATCGGTGGGAAGCCGTCATATCGACGCGAGAAGAGCCGAATGGGAGGATAAGTGTCTCTTTCAGTTGATTTTTAGGAGTCGGCTCACTGTTAGCGGAGTCTTTTGCGCTCAGCTGCTGTGCGGTGCATTTGACAAGCATTTGCACGCAGCTGTTTTGCGGTGCCAATGGGACTCTGTTTGCAGCGGTGTCCAGTGTCAATGCCATGAGGCCCGGCGCGGCTCCGCTGCGGTCGCGCAGTGTGGTTCACAGCAGTAGATAAGCCCACGCTGCAAATAGGCCGCACACCTGGCTGTGGTAACCATTGCGGTGTGGTTGTTTATCATTACAATGTGGACCAGGCAAATTAGCCGGATGCTTGAGATACCCATAAAATCCCACGGTGTGATGAAACAGCTGCAACCGAATCGTTATGGTTCGACTCGCACTGTGCCGCTTGAGGTCACGTCTGGACTCGTGTTCAAGCCACTTCAAGGCCGTGGAACTCTGAGCTTGTGGGAGCTGCAGCGACTGCAGCGGCTGGGGCAGCCGTGCAGCGGCGGGCTGCAGCCGTGCGGCCTCCCCGCCGAGCCGAGCCGGGGTCGCCTGCCTGGCGGGGTCGTACACCTTGTGCTCGTCGCCAGCCTGTCCTGACGGCCCAGCGCCGCCGGCAGGGTCGCAGCCTTGGACATGGCGCGCCGCACCAGCCGGCACTGACGGCCGCCGTGACGTCATCCTCGCCGTGACGTCACGGTCAGCTGGGACCGGACGGCGCGCGTGTGCCGGTGCGCGTATCTCCGTGTATGTGTTTGGTCTAGTTTGGTGGGCGCGTGGGCGGTGCGCACGCGCCGCACCGGTCGGTGTGCGTGTCACCGTCGGTGTCGCACCGGAGGGACCTCCTCCGCCTGACGAAACCGGACCGGCGCGGCGCGGTGCGAGATAGCCGGCCGGCCGGTGGGCCCGCAGCGGCGCGGCGGCCGCTCGGTCAGGGTCGGTCCGCGCCGCCGCCGGCGCCGGCCGGCCGCCGTGCCAGCCTGCGCCGCAGCGGCCGGCCCAATTCGGTCAGGGCTGGCCGCCGTGGGCCGTGTTTGACCGGCCGGCGTGTTTGGTGGGAACCCCGGTGAGTTGGCGGCACACAGGACGGCCGACCCGGGTCACCGGAGCGCGGCTGGCCGGCCCCGCCCGCTGTCGGGCCGCACACTTCGCTCGGCCTGCCCAGACAGAGGACAGAACATCGCAGAGGCGCACGGGCTATCCGTCTGTCAGTGCTCTATCTATCTGCGGCTGACACTGGGTACTGTGGCTGTAACTATTCCAAGCCGTGGCAGACAATGATCGAGGTGTCCTGGGGCCGCCCGCCGCCCAGCCCATCAGTCCACCAGCTGTGGCCAGGCCCGGCGGCGGCGGCGCCTGCAACTGGCCGCGCTGTCCCATCCGCTGTTCAGTCCCTCGGTCATGTCAGACAGCTGTCGCTGTGACCCAGCCTCGGCCGCTCCCCGCGGCGCGCCGCCGAGTATTGTCCGCCGGGACCGGGCACGGACCGACTGCTGACGGCGCCGGTCAGCCCCGTCCGAGCCGAGACGGTCAGAGGGTGATGCAACGACCGCCCACGGCCGGAGGGGCGGGGGTGGAGCGCCGTGGTGGCCGCACACGACGTCACGGCGCCGCTGGGCGGAGCCGCGGGGCCGCCACGATCCGCTCAACCCGGCGCCCAAGCGGCCGCTTCCGCCAAGGGCGGCGCTGCCGTGCGGCCGGAGTTGCGTGAGATGGAGGCGATCCGGCTGAGAGTGAGCGGATCGCTGGCGTCACCGTCCCTGCCGCCGGCCGGCACATCCGACCCGGCGGCACGCAGCAGCCGGCGGCCAGGTGCAGACCGGCCGTACCGGGCAGCGAGAGGGAGGGGCGTATTGCAGGAACGTGACCCTTACCACCGGGGTGGATGGGAGAGGTAGCGGTACGTGAGTGCCGGGCTCAGCACGATTCTGACCTCATCTGAGGTATTTGGAAGGCCTGATGTGTGTATCACTGGACGGTAGCGCCGATGGTGTTGAATGCACGTCCAGCTGTGACTGGAGTTCACGGTCATGGCCGAACACTGTTGTTTGGCTCGTTGACTCCCGAGGGACGATTGAGTAACCGGGCAAATGTGGGAAATTGTTAGGTCCCCACGCCAGATATAGCATACGCGTGTGATCACCGTGAGAGCCTCCCACAACCCACTGCAGGCGACCCTAAACCGCCCCCTTAGCACACTCCGCGCTCACATAACCCACATCGTGATGATCAACTGACTGAGGACGTTCAACCCGTCACCTCTCATACAGGCGTGACCCGAGTCTGCACTCACCTTCCATATAGATGACGGTGAGAATCATGCCCAGGAGGAAGGACACGCAGAACGTTAGCGTGATCTTGAGCACGGACTTTGAGGCACAGCAGCTGACGGTCTGCTTGCGCGCCGCCATTGCCGCCTTAGCGTCAATGTACGTGAAGGACGGCGTCGGACTGAGTGACTTCTTCATCGGCTGCTTCGGCGTCGGCACGCTGATGGTTGTCTGTGGGCAGAGGGAGAGAGCGGTGTCAGCGGGGGCGAGAGGAGAGCATCAGCGGGGCGTGGGCAGACTCACAGTTCGCACACACGAGATCTGGCTGGCTGGTACAGCGATTGCGGCACTGGAGTAGTTTGTGTTATTGGAGAGTGTCGAAACCGGACGGGACAAGTGGCGGCGGCCGCTGATGACCGAAATGTTTGGCTATCATTGGTCCCGGGAACGGAAGTGTCATCAGCGAATTTATGACGTAAGAGTAATTCGCTGGATTCGCTAATTCGGAGGACCTTCGCACGTTTGCTTTCAGGTTTTCTTGAGCTCTACGTATTACTCAAGGGATGCATGCGCGTCTTTGTTAGCACTAAGCGCTTTGGGGTTTCAAGCATTTGAGCTCTATTCCTCCCCAGTCTCTTTCCTCTCCTCCATCTCTTCCCCTCCACTCTTCCCCTCCTCTCCTTCTGAGCTCCTCTCCTTCTGAGCGATGGGGTCGAATCGTCCACCGAGGGTTCGGAATGCGACCTTCGCCGAGCCTTAGGCGGCTCTGACTGGTCCCACGTCACGCGAGCCGTGTCCGATGACACATGGTGACGCATGATGACACACGGCGACACTATCTGCCGGCTGGTGACACTGGTGACGCCGTCCGACCTTGTGCGGCACGTCCTCCGTCCGCTGATCCCCGTCTCTTGCCACTAACTACCGACCCCAGTCAGTGTGACAGACGGGGCTGCCGGGTGGCACGGTGGACCGGGCAGCTGATCAGATCACGTTAGAGGTCCGGCGGCTCCGGGAAGGGTAGCAGGCCGGGCAGGGTCAGGTCGGGTCGGACGGTCACCGGACATACCGTCTATGACGGGGGCGTCCGCGGCGCGTGTTGTAACCAGCGCTCGCGGGCCGGGCCACAAGGTCGCGCCCACAACCACCCTCGGGAGCCGCCTCCGGACCGCCAACCGGCCGGCCTCGTCTCGGCCGGTCACGTGACCGGGCGCGTGCTGCCGACACGCAGTCACGTGGCCGGACAATAACAGTGACGTGTCCGAGAACGGTATGATCGACTACAAAGATTAGAGGTGGCAGTCCAGTCGGCCCGCTGCTAATATCTGATATGGAAGTAGTCAGCCGATGCCGATCTTACGCAAGGGTGCAGTGTAATATTATGGTCATGGGGTTACCAGTTAGATGTCGGCAAGCATCTTCACAGAATGTGGCTGGCAATGCAGTTCGGGTTATGATTTGATACGCAATGACTGATGGTTCGGCCTGACCGCGTTCATCCAATGAATGTGACCCGAGCTGCAACCTGCCTGGGAGCGAGCTGTGACCTGGGTGACCCTGCGGCACCGCCCGGGTCAGAGGCGGCCTGAGGTGCGCCGGGCGCACCCTTGACCTAGCGATGCTCCGTGCAGAGCGGCATTGCTTCATCATACCACCACGCGCGGGTGAAGAAACTGCGCCGGCCGCCGGCGGCTGGGGGGTCGTTGCGGGCTGGTCTGCCGGCGCGCCCTGCTCGCCCCTGCCCGGCTTGGGTAACGCGTACCACGGCCGCGGACCGCTGGGTCAGCCGCAGTCCGGCGCGGCCATCCGTCAGCCGGTGACATGAGCCGCCGTCAGCAGCGGCAGAACACGGAGTGGCTGAGTGCAGGGGCTTAACTAACCGACCGGTCCGGCGACACGCTGCAATATGTGTCTCCGTTGACACATAGCAGTGCTCTGCTGCCGGCGAGGGTCAGTTGTCACTCAGACCGACCTCATCAGTCCCCGCTGAGTGACGTTTTCGTCGGAGCGTGACCGGTGGCCACGGTCGGCCGACGCTGACCGTGAATCCAGCCGGCGAACCACACCCGAGCTCTGCCTCCGCCGACACGGCCTTGGCAGCGCACACTGTGACGCCGACCCTGCTGGACCCATGGCCGGCGGTGGCAGCGGAGTGTCTCACAGCAGCGAGAGACCCGTTAGCCGGCGGCTGCAGCCGGTGGTCTGTCGGTCAGGTCTCCAGGGAGTTGTCGGCCCGAGGAGTTGTTTACGCACGCCGTCTGCGTGCCGCGGCTATCCGCGCCGCGTGTAGTACCGCCGATTGCTCCTGGTCGACTGTTTTTCTCCGGTGGAGTCTGCAGTGCCGACCGGGCCGGCGGCTCCTGCCGGGCTGTCTGGTGGCTCGCTCTGCTGTCTGGCGGCCCGCCGTGCTGCTCCCCGCGGCAGGTGCCGGTGTCCGCCGGCCGCGCAGCGCCCGCGGTGGCTGATTTAGGGCGGTGTTTTGCCGATGCCGGCCGCCGCGGGCGGTGATCGGGCGTTAACACGTTGGTGATTCCTGTGTGGAACCCTGTCGGCGCCGGCGCTCGTGCTGATTGCTGCCCCCGGCGGCTGCGGCGGCTCGGGTGGCGCCCGCCGGAGATGGGGTTCACTGACGCCCTCGTGTAGGTATGTTACCGTCTGCGGTTCTCCAGTCATGGCGTGGTGATTAGCGGCGAGGGCGGACCGCCGCCGGCCACGGCACGAGCTCCGTCAGCCGCAGCCGTTTTCTTTAGCGGTTGCAGTTTGAGCAGTCAAGGTTCACTAGACCCGCGACTTGTGACCGATGTATCTCATGAGGCGGCCGTCTGGCCTGAACTAACCGACCGCGGTTGTTTATTAGCAAGCCGAACTGTGAGCGTTCACACCTGGTATATAACCTTGGACGCTCGCCCTTCGGTGGTCGGCGTCCTTTTTGCCCTTGGTTTGATTGTCGGGGACACAATTCTGAGTAAAACGGGTCTGAAACGGGCACGCCCATGGTTTGGAGTGTCTGACTCGTGGGGCGATGACCCATCTCAGTTCACTGCCACCCGGGTTTGGGTTCAACCTGCTTGGCTCCAACTCTAACTTGTTTTCCCAAGCTGTCGCTCTTCAATTTGAAAACTGAACTATGGTCACAATAACGTCAATCATTGTGACTCGACATAAAATGTCGTCTACTGAGATCGCTCAGCAATACTAATGCTGTTATATGGCCGTCGTGACTGCATGTATCTTTATGACAGATTCGAAATAATCGATCCTACGATCGAGCTATTCAGGAATATCGCTCCAAACATGCCTGCGCGGCGTGCACCGCTCGTATCCCAGCACAAACAGCCTCCGCCCACGTCTCCCCGTTCACTTACGAACAGTCCTCCGGTGGATGACGAGATGGAGTCGGCGTCCTCGCTGCCCGAGCTAGCGCCGCCGCTCTCGGCGTCATAGTCTCGTGCCGAGCGCGGTCCGGCGGCGAACCACGACTGGGCGCTCTCTAGCTGCGGGTGGCTCAGGTAGAACGACGGCCGGCCCGACGGCGCCGTCTCCACCGTCGGTACTGTGAAACCGGGCAGCGAGCGCAGAGGCTGCGGATGGAGAGACGACGGGTCAGGGTGGGAGACAGTGCTGACAGGGGACAAACATGCAGACAGCGGCTGGGGACTGACAGACGGCGGCTCAGACGGGATGGGGACGCACAGACAGTGGACTGGCAACAGCAGCATACGAGATCAGATAAACGGGCCATTATAAGGGGGACAGGAGATCAGCATTGGTGCGACACTCCATAATTGGTATCGATTTATTTCACTTGCGGGTTCAGGCAGATACTCTCCACCATAGAAACGGGACGTGAAATTGTCGTTAGCTCTAGCGGGAGATGTTGGAATACACGGTGATATGAATCGCGAAAAATGTCCAGAGCCGCTGAACGGAACACTATATAAGGGTGTCTGGATCGCGTTGGATATGTGGACTTTTTCGGTAGCCTGGCAACAGATCGTGTGCGTGATGAAGGCAGGATATGGTACCAGGATAGAGCCGCCAATTCGGGTGTGGTTAACGTGAAAAAGTCTCAGGGTCATCGGATCCCGTGACTGGGCGCGTGGTGCTGCAGTGGGAAAGACCGCGCTAACGGGAGTGTTCTGACTAATGGTCTGATCCCAGGCATTTTGGCAGGTGTGCCATGCTGGGTTTGGAGATATCAGTTTGTCTCGGAAACCTACCTTAGTTGACTGGTAGGGTATTGAATGATCTTACTGAAAAAGGCTGGTTGATCTGATTTTGGGGCGTGGTCTCATTTGTCTCCGCGGCTCGGACCCGCCCCGGCCGTGGCTCATCTGCAGCGGAGGGGGGGGGGGTCCTCCCCCACCACGGCTCAGCGGGCCGGGCTGCACCGCCCGCTCCGAACCCGTCCGAGAGGCGACACAGGCTCGTTATCGGCAGCAGCAGCGGCGGGCCGGCCGGTTTTTGTTGACCGGGCAGTAACGGTGCCTCGAGTTCTGGTGATGGGCGAGGCAGCGGCCTCTGCCGTCGGCGGTGAGCCCCCGGCAGCCGGTCGGTGCGCGGCCGCCCCCCGCCCCCCGCCGTGCCGGTCCCCGCCCGGCACGGCCGCATCTGTCACCGGCCGACCTGCCCGAACAAAGAGCCAACCGGGGCCTGCAAAAAGCGGCCGCCTCCTCGGGAGATGATGAACCGCTCTTGCAGCCGCCTCCGCCGCCCGCTGCAGCGTGTTGTTGCAGCCGCGCGCCGTGGGTGTGCATTCCTTTTGTTGCGCCAATATTATTTGTCACAATGATTGTCAAGTTAGATAGTTGCTGCTCGTGCCGCCTAACAGGGTTGTTGACATTTGGTGGATGAAAAATACGGGTCGACCGCTTTATGGGAATTAGCTGTGCCTTTCTCGCGCAGCTAGCAAAATACCGCGGCACGTTTCGGGTCAGGGGCCACGAAAACATGTTCGGCTGTGAAATGCAGCGGCGCGCGACGAATTCGACTCACGACGTTTGAGTTGGACGACGGTTTGGGCTGATCGGTTCCGAAGGTGAACGTCTGGGACTAGTTGACACTCGGTAGCGGGACTGGGGCCTGGGCTCCCAGCTGCTACTGCTGGACAGGTAGACTGTCCCGCAGTGCATGTCGCCGGCGCGGCGCGGTGACTACATTGGTGGAACTAAAGCTAGCACCGGGAACTCCATCGTAGCACAGAAACGTATCACGGGGACGGGCACGGGGCGGGCGCGGTGTGCCACGCGCGGCCGATTGACACCGCCTCACCAATTCCATTTTCACCATCCGCTGATGGAACTTTTAGCGTGTGAGATTGCCTGTCATTCACAGCTGACATGCTGGGAAGGCGGAACCCTCCCCCGGATCGGATCTACGGTGCTCAAAACTGGCCCCTGCCGGTCCCACCGGTCCCCCAACCCGTCTACAGCAGCCCGCTACCGGCGACACACTGGATTCGGCTCAAGGCTGGACCAAATTGGGAAGGTCGACTAATCTCGGTTTTCACCATAAAGCTGGGGATGGGCGAAGGACGCTGGAAACACGTCATATCGACTGGAGGAACTCCGTGCCGCCTTGTGTGTGCGGGTCGCCGGGACCCTCGGATCTACGTCTGTACCGCTGGCGTCGATCCCCGTTCACCTCGAGCGCACTGCCCCCGCCGCTGGGCCACCGCCGCGAGTTGGGGGAGCCGCCGGCCGGGTGGGGGCCCGACTGACGGCGGCTCGGGGACGGGCCTTGACATGCTTCTCTGCCGAGCGGTGACGAGTCGCTCAGTCAGCCGCGCTGCCGTGTGGCCGACTATCCTCGGCTGCACCAGACCTGGCCTGCTCGCAGGAATACCGTCTAACGGGGATGGCTGCCTTCGGGTACCGCTTATCGACAAGGAAAGCCGACGGCGGCCTGCGTAGGGCTCGGATGGTTCGCTATTATGGTGCTTAATGGAGAACTACTTATATCGTCCACAGCTGGGCGACTGTCCCGAGCCTGACTTGGCTTTCCTCATTCGGCCCCACTCTGTCCGATCCGTCTCGAGTCCGACTGCCAGCCTGGGATTGTTCTGCAGCGTTTCCGGCCGGGCGGCCTGGCTGCATTGATCGGCTCCGGTATGTAGTGTACCGAGAGCAGAACTGTGTTTTTTAACGGCGGCCGCGGTCGTCGACTGCACCCGCACAGTCAAGGCCGGGCCACCGTTTTCACTTTCGTCGGCGACTCTGCTGGCGGCGGGGCGGGCGGCTCCGGTTGGAGATCAGAGTACCGACTGAGGACAGCTGGTCGAGTATCACCCCGTGCCGTGACAGCTCAGTGTCGCCGGTGACCGTGACGATAACTGCTCGGCCAGCGGTGGCCCGGGGCTGCCCAGACTGGGCCAGAGTGCGGCCGCGGCTGATTGCTCTGAATTGGCGTGCGAGCCGACTGGGCGATGAGGCAACCGGCCGGCCGCGATCGTTAACCGGGGCACCGAGGGTGGTGGTGGCGGGAGTGGGGCCGGGCGGCGGCTGGCCGCGCCCCTGGGCACAATGCGCGCGCTCTGCGGGCGGGGGCGGGCCGGCCGCGTGCTGACCCTCTCCTCTGGTGGCCACTCCTGTCTGGAGCCGAGTGCTCACGGTGACTGCCGCAGGAGAAAGCTCGGGGCGACCTGCCACCGACCGGTTGAGAAACGGCAGCGGCGGTGGCGGGGCTCAGCTCTCGCGCTGTTGTTGATGTGACGTTTTGTAGCCTGGGGTTCGCTATTGGTGTCCCGCGATAGAGGTCCATCGAAGGGTCGCAAGGGGACCGGGCCTAGGGCCTTTGGGATTGGGAGTGTTTACTTTGTTGGACTGGGACATTACATACGGAGTTTGACAGGTCTTTGTATCAGCGAGTGATTTATTGATTTGGCAAGCATATTGGCCAAGATCATGAAGTCGTTGCTTGTATGCCTAGTTGCGAAGTCTCCTTAAGTACTCGTACAAATTTGGTAAACCATTAAGTTTGTATCGGACATGGGCGTTCGGTATAAGCTCCAGATGTTCGATCACACCTGTGGCGCTTATGTTGCTTCTAGGGGTCAACAGCCACTCACCGTTCCCTCTCGTGAGGTCCACGCCTTGCTGGGAGAGCTGCGTGCCTTGTCCCTTCCGTCCATGCTGCTCTTCCGTCAGTCTGCGTGCGTGTGTGTCCTGGGTTCCTCTCGGCGGTCGGCGCTGGCGTGCCGCCTCTCCGTCGGTGCTCTATCGCAGTTCGGAGTGAACTCTCAATCAGCACGTTGGCACGCGCACAAAGTCCGGCGCTGGACGCTCCAACCACCGCTGTCGGCCGTCCGGCGCACACTGGCGCTGAACTCCGCCGTCACCGCCTGGCATAGCGGCGCGGCCGGCCGGCCGGGCGGCCCGACCCGCGCCGGCGGCGCCCCCTGGCAGCAGCCTTCTCGCCCGGACGGCGGCGGCGACCCGACCGTGACGACACGCCTCCCCTCTGACCGAGCAGCAGCCTTCCGGCGGTAACCAGGACACTCACACCGGGCTCCGGAGGTCGGCCGACCTCCGGCTGACCCAGCGGTGGCGTCACACAGGTCACGGTCGACTGGCGTCACCCGGTGATGACCGGGCACGGGGGTAGCGCCCCTAGGTCTTTTTGTTTGGTTGGTTGTTTGAGACTCATTATGCAGGCTCGTGGCTGCTGCGCACTGCACATTTTGCGCTGTTGCACGGTGAATAGGCCAAACTAGCACGTCATGCCGTTCTTTGGCGGCCGAGGTGTTGGTCAAAGCGTGACCGATGAGTCGGTTAGGATGTGAGGGGCGGTTGGGGCGTCGGTCAGTCGGGACGCCGTGACCGCCATGTCCGGTCACGGAGACAAGGTCAGATTGTGACACTGCTCTGGCTGTCGCACGGACACACACACCGTGACAAAGAGGGCCGCCGGCAGTCAGGGGCGCACCTTGACCTTGCGTCGACGGCGTCCCGCGCCGACACCGGGTCGGGTGGCGGCGATGTCACAACCGGAGCCGGCGCCGGCCTGCCAAGGTCGGGGCCCTCCCTGGGGGACGAGCAGGGGCCTTACGGGGCGTCGCGCCGGCCGTGTAATCACACCGGTCCCTGCACCCCGTCCGCTGCTGGCGGCGCCGCCGGCGGCAAAGGGGACGGCCGGCCGCCGCTGCAGGACCAGTGACCACTGACCACCCTTTGACAGCCTCCGCCTCCGCGGCCGGTCGGCGTGACCTTGTCCCCGGCAGAGCTCTGCCGGGAGGCACCGATTGCGCAGGACGGCGGATTCTGCGCAGCGTGCCCCCGCCAGCCAGCTGGCCGATCTCCAGCGGCCTCGGACGGAAAGCCCTCCCCTCTGCCGACAGCCTTCTGAGGACGGGGTCCCGGCTCATCCGCCTTTTTGTCAGGCCGCCAATAAAGCAAATCTGTATTTTTACCGACAGCTGTTTAATAGCTATCTCGGCAGTTTGATTAGATGTTAGTATAGTGCTAAGTAGATTGATTCTAGTCCGTGTTTGGCCGAATATATCACACTAGTGGCTGCTAGTGTTGTCCTTGCCGTTGGCAGTTGGCAACCAAGGTGCACTCACTCACCGCTTCTTTTTGCACGTGGCTCGCCGCAGCAGGCCGGTACAATAACTCTGATAAAGCGCCGCTGTCCGTTGACCGTTCGCGTGGGAACGGCTCCATGTGAAGTTTTTGGCTCGGTGTGATGACTGGCCGTTTTGTCTGAGCGGGGTCATTATCTGCGTTCCAGTCTGGTCGCTCTCTGAGCCGCCGGCCGTAGCACCTACACCGTCGTGCCTGTCCCTGTCTTGCGCCTCGTCCGCCGGTTATTTTGCAAGTAGGCACGTTTCTGATAACGTCGCCGCGTGTCCATGAATCGGAGAGCCTTCGGCCTGCTTGACCGTAATCCGGGCGGTTTGGGCTGATCCTCCTGAGCCGTACCCACCAGCTCTGACCTTTCCCAGGTAGCTGTCGTGGCAACTCAGGTACCTCACAAACCCTTGTAACATCGTCTCCATGCTGCAGCTTAGCTGTGCCGTTCTTCAGTTTCTCTGGTATCGGGCCCACGCTGTGCCATATCCGGCTGAGTTGCTGCCGAGCCGCCCTCCCCCAGCCTCGGTCAGCCGCCCACATTATCCCCGGTCTGAACCGCCCCTCCCGCTGCCCGCTCTGACAGTGACCTTTCGTGTCCGGCCCGCGCTGACCGTGAGCCGCGTGTGTGTGTATGTTCGTGTGTGTTCGGGCCGGATTTGCCGGGGCGGCGGCCGTTCTGAGATGACTGTACCAGGTGTCGGTCGCCGCGCCCCGGTCCGGCCGGACCTGGGCGGCCTTTGCGACCGCCAGCCGCTGTTTGCCACCGCCAGTGTTTGCAGCCGATATCTGATGGAGGCCGATCCGGCAATGGGTGGATTATTTGAACCGCTCCAGCAGCGATTAGATTTCCTTGAAAGTGGGCGGACCGCAGTGTTGACTGAAACGAGGGCAGATACCATGGCACTTTCCGGGCAAAGCGTGTCACTTGGCGTGGCACATGGCGTGTTGCACAACACCACCCAGCCCGGGTGGTCAAGTGGCCGTGTTTGCCCCAGTAACCTGCAGCGGTCCTGTGAGGGGCCTCATTCCGATCGCTGCGGGCTGCGCGCTGGCTGACTGTCCGTCAGAAAGTCATGTAGGCTTAGTATGCCGCCGGCTGGAGGCGCCCTTGTGTGCCGCCTCCCCGCGGCTCACTGACCACGCCTCGCTCCGTCGGCTGACGCACCGTGAGCCCGACTTCCGCGGCGGGACACGTCCGGTTCCGCTCCCCGCCTCTGTCTCCGCCCGGAGCCGGGGTCGGCGACGGACCGAGCCTGTCCGGCCCGGACCGGACCGCCATGAGAGCCCAGAGTGGTGAGCTGACACCCCGCAGAGTGGTGAGCTGACGCTTCCTGTGACGACGTCTTTTCCTGAGCGGATTACTCTGCTACTGGTCTGGGTCTGAGTGACCCATTTGCAGCATTGACGGCGGATAAGCCGATAACTCTTCTGTCCACTCTGTCTGGATCAGTCGTTTCCAGCGCTCGTTTGTGGCCTCGGAGAGGCGGCACTGTCATCTCGGGCTGTAGCGATGATCCCTGTTCTTTGACAGCGGCAGCCGGCGCTCCGCAGACCGCCCCGTTCCGCGGTGTCGCGGTCTGCCTGCTCGCCCGGCCGCCGTGCCGTCGACAGCGGGTCTCCGGCGGCGGTCGTCGACCCGGCGCGGCCGATTCCCACCAGACGAGTCGTCGGCCCGGCTGTCGACGGCTCTCAGCAGCTGACAGCGGGCGGATTACCGTCGTTCGGGGATGGTGCGAGCCGACACACGCACATACCGACCATGCGCCACCGGCCGGTTCTCCGCTCCGGCCGGGTGGCAACGAAGAGTTGGTGAGAGTCGCCGGGCGGTGGTCACTGAGGGTGGGCACTGAGCGTGCGGATTAGGAGCGATAGAGACAGCACGGCGCGTTTCCCGTCCGATGATCCCTCGTTTCCCGGAAAATTTGCAGTTGGACGCGCTCGATTATGCAGAGAGAATGTCTAACAATGAACAGGTATGTGGTATGCAATCACTTCACCACATTTTGATCGGGGCGATTTTTTATCGAGGGCAATAATTTTAAATAGAAAATTACTGCAGAGGACGACGACACGGCTAAGATGTGGTATTTAAATTTCTGATGCTATTTTAAGTGATGCTGAAATTATGTCAGATACCTGTGCGTAGTTTTACATCAAATTAACGTGTCTCCGTACTCATCACTGTGAGGTAGGTATGCTGCAGCAACTAATGGCTTGTGCAAACTGCGCAGCGCAGAGGGATTTTATTCAGGACAAAAGTGAGGCATGGCGAGCGCCAGTATTGATACTTAGCGCACTGCAAGTAGAATATGAAGGCACAACTACGTGATACCCACGCCCGATCTTAGATCGCTGCGATATTATATTTGTACATTTGTTGGCTAAGCTGGCTGAAGGGAAGAGGTTAGCAGCTTGGACTGATGAGATTTACGTGACCGCCGAGCGAGGACGTCGTACAACATCACCTGCAAATTCGTGATTCAACGGCATGATGGTTTCAATATGCTAAAGTGATGCGCACGTTATATCCGACGTTTAAGTGACGCTGTTTCACCGGTGTTTTGATGAGATGGGAGTTGCATTTCCATTTCAATCAGTATTTCATGCCTGGGGAAGTTTTATGAAAGATGACAGTGGACCCATTTTCGCCTTTTTTGTTGTTATTTGGGGGATGTTCTTTTCCTCCGCCTTCGCCGGTATTGTCATTAGAAATCTACAAGGAAATAATAGTTCTGCATGGTATGCTGCTTTTGTTTTTGAAACTAGTGTTTTTTAGCTGTTCTCACTGTAGAAGTGTAGGGTATTGGAGCGCCTGCGAAATGACATGGACGCCATGCGCCAAGATATTCCTGCACCGGATCCTCGAGTCATACCTGCGAGCCGTGTCGGTGTCTTCCCTAGACCGGTGGGGCTGCCATGAGCTGAATCACAGGTTCGCCAGTCTTTGCGGCTGCAACCTCCACCAGGCTATCAAATGCTGAAATATGTTGCTATTATTGAGATGACAGCTAAAATATTTCTGAACTTGAGACATTATCGAATGGGCGCAAAACGACCTTTGTAGTCGGCGCGCCCCAAAGACCCAATACACGAACAAAAAATAAAACATAGAATAAATGTGTTTTAAACGGAGAGTTCAGAAGGGTATAGGAGCTCCGAGATCACTCAGTGGAGATAGATACCGACTCCTCAACTCCTCATGAAAACCTTACATCACCCATCCCACTCCTGGATGACTGGTTGAGACTGTTATAACGCGTCTGTCGTGTCGGCGCCGCGCCGGAACCACGGCTGTGGCGGTCGGCGGCGTCAAACCGTGACCCGGTGGGACGGGGACGGGCCGGGACCGTGTCTCCGGCACGGTTTTTCCGTGACTGGCACCGGCGTGAGACGGGGTGTCGGGAGTGGCCGTCATTAGATGCCTACAGTCGTCGGGTGGGTCTCAGTTGGTATTGGTAACGATTAACTAAGGAGTACCGTTCCAACTCTGATATGGTGGCGCGCTCAAATCCAAATCGTTATCACGATGATGATTGGCGTGCGTTCAGCAGGTCCTTGTGTTCATGTTAGATGGCTACTAGTTAGAGTATGAAGCTAAGCAGCTTCACATAGAGACCAAGGACACAAGCTATGGGCTCTCCTACTGGAATTTGTAGCCAGCGTTCTCCTCATCCTGTCCATTTTTATCGGGAAAACAAGGCTCTGCAACTTTGGGCATGTCAGCCCTCGTGTCTGTGTACCGAGAGATCAGCCGGGATTAGGCCGGTGTATATCCGGTGAACGGGAGGTTGTGTGCATGTGGTTACAGATCAGGGCGTGCTTCAGTTATCCTGTTGTCTGTCTTTTTATTTTGGCCGACCATTCCCTTCCG